TAACATTTTAGTTTCTATTTATCATTATTTTGATATAAAAAACTCTTACTTTTTTTTGCTTCTCAAGAAAAAAAATTATTATTTACTCAATGATAGAAGGAAAAATTGAACTAAACTATTATCACCATGAAAGAAATGATTTTGTCTATGATCTGAACCAAATGAACTTTTGATTATTTCAACATGATTAATGATTTTTCATCTTAATCATATTTCCCATCTTAACTTTTTACACAATCATCTCACTCACTCCTTCAACCTTAATCTTAACAGTTTGTACATTATACTCATCTCTTATTATGATAATTATTTACATTCATGTATCAATCATGATGATAATGATGATGAAAATGATAATCTATCAGAGACATAATCATGTTTCCAGAGTATGGATTATGAAACAATCTAAGTATTAATACAAGCTAAAGTTTCCATTGCCTTTGTCTTTCATATTGAATCAATTTGTCTAATGTTACGTTGGGATGATGAGGATGTTGATTCATCATGTTGATGAGTATTGGCACTTTCCTTGTAACACCAATACCAAATGTCAATACACTTAATTATAATCAAAATGTTACCTGATTTACGTAAACACACCTACTCATAGAGTTAGTCTTACTCATTATTACTCACACACTAATAATCAATTAATAGTAATTTTTTTCAATCTTCCTTCATGTTAACATTCAATATCGTCAATGTTAATTTCGGAAATGATTTCGACTTATACAATTCCGTCTATTGAACATTAGATTTTAATTTGTTGATTAGAATGACTTTATGATCAAGATTGGAGAGAGAGAGAGAGAGAGAGGGAGAGATGTTAGTTTCAATTCGGTGGCTCTTAATAATAGTACCATGATTGACTCTGATTGATATAATTTGAAATGACAGACAGACACATCATTGACTGACAATTGGTCAGTTTGATGATAACTGGACACTGATTTAAATTACTATTCACGATGAAAGAATACAAATCATGATGTGACTTGAGTTAATTACCTTTCAGAATAGTTAATGTGACATATTGTTGATTTCGTCTAGACTTTTTTCCCTCACCTTTAAGTTGTTGCTAATGAAACTTAATTATTTTACTACTAATGAGATAATCTTAATTAATAACAAAATTGTCGAATAATTTTAATGAAAAAGAGATGTCCGTTAATTGCTTCAATGGTCATCATCATTTGTACATCACCTTGAAATTTTCATTAGATTTGTGATGAAAGTAATTACATCTTAATTACCAATTGACATTTACTGAACTAGTGAAACTTTCCATAAGTGATTCCTTAATTGTTTCCCTGAACAAATTCAATCTAATGAATAATTTCCGTACAAAATTCAAGAGTATCTCATTTCCTTTTGTATTAAATCACATTGTTGCAATTATAATGATGAACAAAATATTGATCATGAAATTAAGTATATGAAACCACAGAAATGGGATAAAAATAACTATCAACATTTGATTTGATAATCAATCTGATAGTTTGATGAATATTATTTCCTATTTGTGTGAATATGTTTCATGACTTTAACTCACATCAACGTAAACCTAAATTGTCAAGTGTCAAAATTAATTGTGATTAATTATTTAAATTGTTATTCCACCACTAAGAAAAGTTAATGACAAAAGTAGCTATTAGTTAGTAGTTATATCTGATTATTGATTGTTAGTTTAATCAGCTGATGATTGATGAATATCACTGGAAATTAAATTATACAATTTGCAAGTCAAAACAATCAACAATCAATTGAAACCATCAATTAATTGTAATCTAATCACTTTGTGATTATGTTGTTACTTTTTTGCTTCAATCTTGGTCTAGATTAAGGTTTTTTTTTGTTTCCTTAATTGTTTCTCTTGATTGTTGTCATTTAATCTTTTGATTATAATCCAATTGTTCAAGTTGACTATGTAAGTGAATAGGATTAAGATTGTAAGTTGATCCTTATCCTCATCATTTTCATTTGAATAAATTAGTATCCAAAGCAGTTGAAAATTTGCTTTTCTATCTTGTTGATTGTTACAATTAATTGACTTATTAGCCAGATCATAATGAATGTTAATTGTTGGAAACTTTCCATGTAAATTAATTGATTGGTAATCACATTAAAATGTCATTAATTTTAACAATTAACCTTAATTTTCGGTGATTAATTTTCATCTTAATAATCACATCCTAACTTTGAAAAAGGAAAGTGGCTTATTTTTGATTATTTAATTACAATTAGCTAATTGCTAACTCGATTCCTCTTTTGTAACCAATTAAATTAGCTTTTGATTTCCTACTACAATTTAATGATTGTCTATTTACCTTAATTATCATTATCAAGTTAACGGTAAAATATTCTGATTACTTATGAATTTAAATTTGTTTGATGATGATGATTATCATTGCAATCAAAATGTAATTTATTCAGTTGAAAAATATTAATTCAGTTTCAATTGTAATTTGATTTTTCATTTTCACCATTTTAATTAAGGAAAATGGTTCAATTTTAATAGGAAATGAAACATTTGTGTGATTTTATTGATTAACCAGGAAATAAATTGTTGCCTCTCTCATTGAATTTTGATGTCGATTAAATATTCACCTTGATATGAAATCCATATTTCATCATTACCTTTTTAATATTATCATTATCTCAGGTGATTATCACGTTATCGTTAGGAATGAATTGTTTCCTTGTCTCTGACATTTATTGAACACTTATAAGTATTAATAGATGATGGTGATGATGATTAGATGATATAATTTAATAAAAATGTTACAAAATGATGATGATGTTATGCAACTTATAAATGAACACAATATCATGGTAACTATTAGTTGAAATGTTTTCTCAATGAATCTTATCAATCTGAACTTTTCTTATTCTGTTTACCCTGAAATAAAATGAATATGTAATGAAGTTTGATGATGATGATGATAGATTTCAGTTTTGTCAGGATGGAGGGAAAATTTTTGCTTCTTCACTCCCTGAATAATGATGAAGATGATACATTCTAAGAGATGAAGAGAATAACATTTTCCTCATATTATTTCATTCAATTGACTCTTTTTTTTTATTAGCCTGAGGGAGATGAGAGACTCTAATGAATGTCATGATAATGGGAAAAAGATATGATTGATGAATGAAAGTAAATTTGAATATATAAAATGAGTGCTCATTTTAGCTTTAAGGTGAGTGGTGATTGTGGTTTAAATTGAATTAATGATTAATTGTGTTGTAAGTTTAATGATTATAATCAATTACATAGGTTATCATGTGTTCAACTAGTTAATCTAATTCACTTTTTGTTAAGTCTATGCTGGTTAATTGTCATTAACAATGTATTACATTTAGCTATTGATTTACTTTGATTTTTGTGTATATTTTTAATCACCAACACTTTGTTGATTATATTCAATGTTCAACCTAATCAAAGTAAACAATTTAATTTTCATTATAATTGTAAACAAGATCTTCACATGATAAAGTGTCTTACCTTTAATGTTTATCTAGATATTAAATTGTTAGATAAATATCAAAGTTGATTGGTTACTAATATACAATTAAAACTAATTGTAGCACTCAAATATTAATAGTAACACAAATAAATCAGATTGATGAGATTTTCATCTTAATTGTGAATCGGATTAATGCTTTGTTTAACCAGAATTTGGTTTTTTTTCTGTTCACCTTAAAAGATTATGAAACAATCAATCAATAGTTTGAATTGTAATAATAGTTTATGGATAAGATGAAATGAAATTGAAATTGTGTCAACCATGTGAATATCAATTGAAATGAATCAGAATTTTATTGGTAACAATTTAAATTGTGTTCCCATTCGTGAATCTTGACACACAAATTAAATTGCTGTCGGTTTTATGTAATTTCAAATGAATTGTAAATGTTAACTTGCCTTTCAATTTTTTCATCCTGGTTCATAAAAGATTATCATGAAATTCATCATGTATAACATGATGCAGTTAAATATTTGAATTTATATTAATAATCCTTCAACTTTTTTTTACTTCTTTGAAGATTGAACTTTTTGTCCCTTCCACTGGTCAGTTGGTGTTAATTTTTTTGTTATTGTTGAAAAATGTCAATATCAAATTGACCTAAATGATATTAATCACTCAAATTTGATTATTTAGGTGAAAATATTAAATTATCATTATTATATTTTGGTCACTTATTGAATGGTCATCCAATTATTGAATTTATAATTTTTAATGAAGATAATTTAATCAGATTAACTATTATGATGCTTATGTGTAAGTAGCTGTGTCTGAGTTGGTCCTCATCATCGTCATGGTCATCGGGATTTGAAGAGCCAATACTCTGGTCAAGTTTATATTTTACCGTTAGTTTAGTTCATCTCTCTTTTCAGGGTTGACCATTTGCTATCTGAGTCTAGACTTGACCAGAATGTCAATGCAATGTAAATGGACAAAACAAGATTCTTGATTCCTTCGTGAATTGAATAAAATGGTAAAATTCAATAATGTATCTAGAAAATGATAATTGAAGATATTTGTTTACCTGGTGATTGGTGATCTCAGTAGTGGTCATTGATTGAACTTGAAATGGATAAGCACAAAGAAACAAATTGATAAACTTACCTAATGACAATAATAATGGTCAATAGATATGAAAATGATAAACATATTGATTTAATATAAAGACTGAGATGATTATGATGAAGATGATGATGATAAATGAACTTGATAAGATTATCACCATGACAAATATTGTAGATGACCTTTAGGTTTTTGAAATGATAACTTATCACTTTTGGTTAACTGGTGATAATTTGATTGTAACAAATTACCATGATAATGATATTTGTTTTTGGTCATCATCATGAATCTTGAACTGAATCAGTTCCCTTGATGAAAGTTAAAGATTGAGTTTACATTTTCCTCTCATTTTTTCAATTTTTCCCATGAATTTATCATGAATTTTTTCCCATTACTTTTTATCTTCTTTCTCAGGTACAGGATTGTTATTAATCCAATGAAACCTCGGATCACTCGACGAACCTGTGTTGTGTGCCTAACCTTTATTTGGCTCATTTCGTCCCTCCTCTCATTGCCCACCCTGATCTATGCCACCTTCATGTCCTTTGACAATCAATCAACCAACATAACGAGACACATTTGTATCCTCCGATGGCCCGATGGTGGACCTGGAGTATCAAATGCTGATTTCTAGTAAGAAACTTTACTTGACCATCACTTGATAAAATAACCCTTCCAATCCTCATGGATTCTCAGTTTGATATTCAATAGGAATACATCTCATGTAAATTCATTTATGATAAACTGTCCCCATGGTTTTTTTTTCACTTCAATTCGGATGCTGATTCCTATTGTTGATTGTTGATTGATTTGAATTGTTGTGAATATGAATTGAACTGAGTTCCATTTCATTCTGTTCTCAACTTCCTTCATGATAATATTTGCTTCTTTTCATGGTCATTTTATTCCCTTGCAGACACTGAAATGAATTTCTTTGGAACTTTTTTTTTGTCTCATTGCTCGATAATCGAGAGTACCATTACTTTTTCATACTTTATTTCCTGAACTTTAGAATCATGAATTATCAACCCTTGAAAGTCAAAGGTATTATAAATTCAGTTTCATTTCCTACACTTTTTCATCTCCTTGGGACAGGAAAGTATAAACTGTTCAGTACATTGAGTGTTTCATTTTATATTACCATGAAAAACTCACCATGAAAGTAATATAAAGTTTCTTATGAATTCATCTATTCAATGTAATTATTTTATTCACCATGAATGTTTGGTTTATTTTGAATCAATCATTCATTTCAAGCCAAAAAGTTACGATAGATTTTGTTTCTGATCAAATAATGAATAATGATGATTATTATTGACTCAATTTTTCATGATTTTATCTCTGAGTAAGAATTAAATTTCAATCCATAAAATTATAACCCAATCAAAAGTTGAATTGTACAAAAAATAATCAATAATTATCCTTGGACAGTGTCCAAGTTTATTTTTGGAATTCATTTTATTTAATTACAGTCTTTCCGACCAAAAAGAAACAGTTTCCAACGAGCAAGAAACGGGGGTGGGGAAGATTTTATGACTCTTGTCTTCCAACTCAAAGGTCCTGACCTTTACAACTTAGAGGGAACACTTTGCAAGCGACGAGAAACAGTTTGCATTTTAGGTGAAACAGTTGAGTAAAAATTATACAAAAAAGTTATCAATTACTACAAATCAGATTAATTAATTAATTTTTGATCATCATTCTAGTGATTAATAAACTTAAACGATAAAACGAAACTGGGGCTTTAGATATATCAATAAAAAACCGAGAGAGCTGAATATTGAAATTTTTAAAAAAAGCTGGTAGAGTAGCAAAAGTCAATAGTCAATCAATTCATGGTGATTTTTTAATTAGTAATTGAGAAAACCACGAATTCAATGTTTGTAAATCAAACTGTTTCACCTAAAATGTAAACTGTTTCTCGTCGCTTGCAAAGTGTTCCCTCTAAGTTGTAAAGTCGTAAAAAAGGGGGTCAAGACCGGACGGTCATAAAATCTTCCCCGCCCCCGTTTCTTGCTCGTTGGAAACTGTTTCTTTTTGGTCGGAAAGACTGTATCAATTTTTTCCATTATTAATCCTTTTAATCAGCACTGATTATCTAGTCAAATTATGGATCAAGTTTTAATTAAATGTTGATTATATAATCAATTCAGTGAGATTAAATATCATGCAAATTTGATTGATTTGTTAATTAATATTTTTTTTTTCTATTCCATTTTTTTTCTTATTATAGTTTTAACGTAATTATTTTTGCCGTTGATTATGCGATCCCGATGATCTTGATGACGGTCACTTATTACAGGATTGGTAAAGTTTTCTGGGGAAGTCAGGCCATTGGTGAACTGACCGAAGGTCAACGGGAAGCGATTCGAGGTCGACAACGAGTTGTGACCATGCTTATAACGGTAACCGTGCTATTTGCCATTTGCTGGTTACCTTATCATATCTATTTCCTGTACATGTACTATGACCCGGAAATAATGAATCACAAATATATATCAAACATTTATCTGACCATCTACTGGCTCGCAATGTCCAATTCAGCAATTAATCCAGTTATCTATGCTTTTCTCAGTAAAAGGTTGGTCATTATCCAATTGACTCTAAATTTTATATTCCAATGCTGATCCTAATATCCTTTTCATTTTGATAATCATTAATCCAGATTAATGATAATCTTTCACTTTCACTTTGTCTTTTTGTTTTCATGGTAAATGATATAATTAATTTCTGTTTATCTATCAGATTAATTTGGGATCTTACTTTCATTTAATTTGGTATCAATTCTTATTTATTAAAATTGTCAACGATAAATCAATTGGTTTATCAATAGTAGATCAATCTAAAACTTTCCTTATGTCCAATACTGTCTAATGTCCAGCTATTTGATTATTGTTGTCCAGTTAATAGTTACTTTTGAGATAAATATTACTAATATACCTTGAGTTTGCTTGTTGTTCATGATGAGATTTTATATTTGTGAAAAACAGGAAACTATTACTACTCAACCTGAACCTAAGTAACATTATTATTTTGTTTCTCTTTCTATATAGTTATCATTATTATTATTTGGACATGATGATGAAAAACAAAACAAAACAAGAAACTGGACACAACAATTAGGTTGAAATAGATTGTGTCACAAACAGAAGATACTTTTTGTTTTCTTCGTCTAAACTTAACTATTATTGCCACCATTTCAATTCTCATACATTCTGAGTAGCAACTTTTCAATTCTCTCCCATTTGAAACTCTCCCTGTATCCAACTCAGGATATTTACTCTCCCTGTGTCTCTCTTCATTTTCATCATCCTCAAGTTTCCAGTTCTAATGAAAAATAACAACAACAACGAAACTTTAGTCTCACGTTGAATCCTCATGAACTCATAAGCCCAAACCCATGGGATTCCTGTGAGAGAGAGAGAGAGATGAAGAGTGATATTCATTGTCTCATCTTTATCTCTTTCATTTCTCACCAGTTCCATCATCATCATAACCAGCTCATAGACTCAGTTAGTTTGATTGAATTTCTACCGGAGATTTTTTTCCACAAAATTTTTTTTCCATTGTTTCCCATCCTTAGGAATCTGTAAAACAAAAAGGAATCAGAACTTTCCAAGTAATCGAACCTGAACTATTAATATCTTTACATTTTCTCAATCATCTTTTATTATCTTCCTACATCATCCTGATAATTATCATCTCTCTTACTTTTATCTTTCTATTATTTTAATCTTTGTCATCATTTTGTCTTCTTCCTTTAATTACATCACTATTAAGCTTTTTCCATCCATCCTTTTACCCTTAAATATCCAATATCAGGTATATAAATAAAAATCTTATCACTTTCACTGCTTTAACATGAAAATCCTGCTCATCTTCATGGTTCATCTGAGCTCTGAGATTTCAATTTTTATGAAAAGCATCAATCTATTTATATCCTTCATCTTGAAACATAATAAATGATAAAATGTATTAACCTTTTAATTACATAGTAGTTAAATATCAAGACTTTACTCATTCAAGATACTGATTATCATTTTGTTTTAATCATCATCATTATCACTATCAGAAATGATTAGGAATCCATGAAACTTATCATCATGTTCAATTTTCTATCATATTATAATGTTGATGATTTAATAGTTACCTTTAGTTGATATTATTACTAAACTTTTTTTCCTCAGAAAACTTACTTTGTTTATGAAGCTTTTTGATTAATAAATTATCATCTCTCTATCATGTGTAGGGGTTCATGATAATCGTGGAGTTTTTTTTTTCATTCATACTTGTATTTGTTAGACATCCTCACTATCAATTACTTTGATCATCATCATCATTAGCATCAATAGGAGATGATGATGTAAAAAAGGCTCTCACAATCGAGAATGAGTTTAGTTTACTGTGAAGCGGAAAAAAAAGTTCTAAGAGAAGAAGAAAAAAGTTCGATATTATATTGTAACGATAATGATGAAGATTCTAGATTGATAAACACAAACTATTGACAATAGAAAACGAGTATATGATTTAGACTATGAATACCCTTATCCTCTTTCTCATCCCCGGTGAGGATTATTATTATTGTTACCTTTTGAAATTTTCTGCTGACCGATATCATGAATGTGTAGGTTGATAAGAATGATGGAAATTAGATGAAAAAGTTCATGTATCCATGAGTTTTAGTTTGAATAACATGATAAAAGAAAAAATTTTTTTTCTTCCAAACTAAATGTTACTATTTATTATTATTCTCGGATGGTTATTGTTGTTATTTCTATACAACAATCAACCATTATTATTATGATATTAGACATTGAATGGTTAACTGTTGACCCATTTTGTGTTGATAGCAAATTATTAGATGTTGATGATGATCAGTAAATTGTTACTATTATTATTATCATTTACAGTTATGTTTTATTAACTTTGTAGTCATGTTTGTATTTTATTTCTGGGTCACCTTTATTTACCCTTAGGGTTTGATTGGTTGTATTATATTGTTGATAAAAAGTTATTAATGACTGATATCATTTTCCAACTAGATGATTAACTTGATGATGTTTTAAAGTTACAATTTGATTGTTATTCTTGTTGAACATTGAAATTTAATCTCTCATGTAATAAATATATATAATTTTCATGACTGAAATGATGATAGTTATTAGTTTGTCTTTTATGATGTTTCATTGAGACTTTTGTCTTTACGAACAAATAAAAGCATGGAAAATGGGAAAAGGAAAAGGAAATGACAAAATGATACTAATTTCTCAATGTCTAGTTGATAGATGATTAATAAGACTATAAACAAGAGTGAGAGAGAGAAAATTTTTCTTCTCTTCCGAATTGTTTACCATGATTAAAGATCAATTAGACTCCATTTATTGTTGATGATTCTTTGATTTCGAATTGAAATTTTCAATATTTTTTCAACTTCGGACAAATTCATCAATAATCATGGTGTTGTTGATGAGAAGGGCAATATTAGTTGTAAGAAAACAACTTCGTTGATATTACCTTTCATCTTTTACCTCCCTTTCTATCATGATTCACATTATTATCTTCATCTTATGTGTGAGTATGTCAACTTTATCATGTCTTCCTCACCACTCCCTCTCTTCACGTTAGTTATTGTATTGGCTTTTCCTTATTCCTCTTCTTCCAGAATCTTTTTTCTTGCTCAACTTTTCAATATATTCTGATATGTTTGTGTAGCATTTAAGGTTAGATAAAAGTTTCTCTCTGTCATTGTTAACTGTCAACTCTGTCAGTTAGAGTAAAATTGAAATGATAACCCTCATATATGATCATGGATATAATTTCAATCCTTAACTTTTTTTTTCATGATGACAATGATTGTAATAATAACTCTCTGAACAGAGAAATCAGAACTGTTCAATTTATCTGAATAGTTATTAGTTACATGAGGAAGTTACATGAAAGAGTATCAGATAATTCAATGAGAATTCAGTCTCTCTCTCTCTCCCTCTTTCTCTGTTTCTTATCTAATTTTCAATACTATGAATTACATATGATAACAATCACAATTCCGTTTGTGATAATAATGATGAAAAACAATTATGTAAATTGTTATCAATTGAGTGGTGATGATAACACTAAATGAAATAAAACCTTGATACCCTTGAACTGGAACTGGATTTACATTTAATTTCCATCATTATTATCATGAAGAAGATGATGATGGTGATGATGATGAGATTCATTCATGGATAGAGAAAGAGGAAAAGGAGTAAAGGAATTGACATAAAAAAAGAGTCTCATTAATCTGAATCATTTAACAAAAAAATAACTCTACATCATTAACAGGGTGGGAATTGTGTATCAATCTATTTTCCCTCCGTTGATTATGATCAGAGTAACAACAAGCGAATCAAGTGATTACGGTGATTTAATATCTCGATATTAGCATCCATGAAAATATTGCAACGATTTAAGTTAAACTCCCTCAATCATTAGAAATCCTTTTGATTAACTTAACATTTTTCCATCATTATCCTAATAGCAAACATTTATTTACATACATTTGCTATCTGAATATTAAGGTAGACACAATTGATAACCATAATCAATACAGAGCAATATGATGTTTGTGATGTTTGTTTACAATCTCATTTACTATTTAGTATCAATTTGAATGAATTTCTTGTCAACAAATCTGACAGAGATTTAAATTCTGTATCTATTAATACCTCAGAAAAAGTTATGATCATGTTTCTATTTTCTCATGGAACTTTTTTCATCATCATGTTTCATTTTCATCTAACTTGAACTTTATTTTTTCTCCTACAGGTATCGCAATTACTTCCTCAAGATGATTCCATGTAGATTCGGGAAGAGAGGAGGATTCGATAAAGATAAATCAATGAAGACCAGTCAGAAAACCGTCGAGATTGAAATGTTATAGCAAATGTAATGGTCAAATCCATTCGTAACTATTTGCCTCTCTCTCTCTCTCTGTTTTTGAACATTGAAACAATTTCAGTTACTCACTCAATCTCTTGACAGTCAACTCAAAAACTCATCATCTTTACATCATCACCATGATGAGTTGATTCATGATTTTTTATACATACAACAGCTACACATCATTATAACCATCATCATCTTTTCAATGCATTTACTTTGCTTGTTGAGTTTTGTTTTTTTTTACGTTTATGTTACTCAATGAAAACAAAGAGGGAAAAAAATGAATCTTCAAATTGTAATGTAACAGTTTCCACCTCCGCCACTACCATGAAAAAATATACACACACACACCTCATGATCATGTTCCCTCTCATTTCCACTCTCTCTTTCCTTTCAGTCCCATTTGCCTCATTCATTTTTGACGAGACTTCAAACAGATCGTTTTTTTTTCTGCTGATCCTGAACAAAATGTCTTAAAAGAGATGATGAATTTAATCAAGAAAAAAAAATTCTGTACTCAGTCATTCATCTATGATGATAATATGTACCATGTATATGATGGAATGAAAAAGTTACTCTTGATGTTGACCTACTCAAAGAAAGAGAAAGAGAGAGAGAGAGAGAGAGAGAGAGAGAGAGATGATGATGATGATGAAATGATTTACTAATAGTTTTGATATGAACTTTTTTCGTCCTCTCTTTTTTATCATCTTTATCCTCTTACATCTTATAAAATGTTGGATTTCATGATAAAAGGATTTCACCTCATGATTCAGATGATTATAACTCAGCCTCCGATTCATCATAAAAACTTTGATGATTAAAAGATAATATAACAATTACAATGATTTCAATTGTAAAAAAAAATAATAATTTAACAATAAAGAAAAGGACAAATTTATCAACCATTAAGACTTTTACATTGTAATGTCATTGATTGTCAATCTATTCATATGAATGATTGGGATTCTCATTAATCATTAACCTGGTTGAATAATCTTTTCAGTGGTTAACTTGAATAGATTGACCATTATTCAGTAAAGGTCAAGTGAATCAACACAGATGATCAATATTAAAGGTGAATCAATTTGTGTGAATGTTAATTTGAATGTTGACAATTGGATTTGATTGTAATCAAAAGGCTAATATAATAATAAACGAGTCTTTTGGTTATCGATTAAGTTTAGATTATGATTTAGACTTGACTGTGAGTGGTAAATATTAGCTGATCTAATGGAGATGAGTTTGAATCTGAATTTACCTTTGGACTTTTTTCCTCATGAACTAAAATTCATGGTGTTTTATTGATCTTACTTTCTGTGTCATCTCTTAATGTTTTCATAATGAACATAGTCTCAATTTCATGGGATAACATTTGATAATCATCATCATTTTGTGTAACATTTTTCTTGAAATTTCATCTAAGCTCTGTTTCCAGGGTTTCTGTTTTCAGGGAATTATCTTGAAAATGTTATCAGATATGTACTATTGAGCCTGAACTTTAGATTCTAAATGAATTTGTTCATCGTGATAAACTTTGAAAAGGATTCTTCAGATTCTCATCCTAATCAACTGATAATCTTTCATCCCGATTCACCTGACAACCGGATATCCGTTTACTCGTAATGAAAAGATAACAACAGAGCAAAAAAAACTCAGATTAAACTTGAAACCATATCAATCTAATCAATCATCTTCATCTCTAATCTCTTGTATCTAATTGTAATCCTTTACATGGTTAAAAAATACACGATTGTTGAAAGTTTGCAAAACTTTGATTATCGAACAATTAAAATTAACAATCAGCTAATCACTTCCTACAAGTAAGTTTAATAAATCCATGGATGAGCTCACACTGATTTGGAATCAAAATCATTGCTTTTTAATCAGCTGATTATTTAGCTCAATGACCAAGAAAACTCAATTAACCATTTGATTTGCATTCATCATTACAATTGCATCTTTCTCAATGCTAACCAATTATGCCAATTGGTCAATTTAATTGTTTTATTGGCTTCTTAATGATAATGGTCTAGCTTTTGATCATTGAAATTTTTCATGGTGATTTCATGTATCCGATTCAGTTGATGCTCTGAATTTATATTCACCAACTCAAGTTAATTCCAGGTTTGTGTTGACTTACAATTCATCATTTTATTCATAAGTCTGACATTACGATAATCATGATAAATGTTAACTGAATATTACTTGACCATAATCAATAAGAAAAACGATTGTAATTATTATTTTGATAAATTCGATATTTGATCATTACGAGAGATTCATTTGAAATTTAGATTCAATAGTTTACGATCAATTTGCTGATGAACAATATGTTAATTGATTACTTTTTGCTGAACAAATTGTTGATCACAAAGAAGAGAAAGAAAATAATTCTGATCAATTCTGTATTTAAATCAATAGTTTCTCCATGAACCATGATCGTCTTTTTTTCAGCTCTTAGAATCATCTTAGTGAAAAGTATTTCCCTGGTGTGGGTTGGTGAGTGGGTGAACCATAGATCTTAGTGATTTCATTAACACAATTAGTTAATTTCAAGGGAAAATTGTTAGTTTGCTGGTTAATTACATGAAGAAATCGTTGCTTAAGCTTTAAATTACATCAACATGAATCACCAGTAACTTTCATGATGAACTTTTCCTGTAAAATTTCATGGCAAACGTCAATGAAATAACAACACCAACAACAACAACACTACCAACAGGATCACCTTAAATCCATTGAAAAAATCAACAACAACATCATCATCATGTTCAACCTTGGGTATGTTTGTATATCTAAGATGCTGAAATTTTTTTCTGGTTCAATTGGTACTGAATTAAAGATGCACATGAAACTAATTAACTCCACTCTGATTCTGGATTTGATCCAGATTATCAGATAATCATGTTCACAAGGATTATCCTTCATCATGAAAGTAAAGTGTAAAATAGTAAAGTCTAAAAATTAATGTTAATCTAATTTACAATCAACAAAGAGTTACAATTGAGATTCACATTGAAAAGTACAATTCGTCTTAATCAAATTTAATTGTGTGATTATCTGTAGTTAATTGTTCCCAATATGTCTAATAATTTAATTTCATCGCAATCATCTGATTCTAATAATAATACCATTTCATCATCATCTGTTTGTATAAATATGACAAAAACCTCAACGGCAACAATTAAAACCAATATCAATTCATCTGCATCTGAACAATTAAAAAAATTAACCCAATCAAATACAAGGTGAGTTAATTATAACTAATTGTGGTATTAATTAGATTGATATAGTTTTGTTTTCACAAGTCTCAATGATGCCTCTTTAAGTTAATTGTTTGAAAAATGAGAAATTAGGTTAACAATTTATTAATCATTTTAAATTGGAAATGGAAATTGATTCATTAATAAATCAGTTAATTGTCACTTACTATCTGATGATAATAGGATTAATTTTGAAAACGATTTTGAATTTTAATAACTGTTGGTCGTTTTAATTGTTATTATTATTATCATGATGATTTGTAAATATAATATTTGAATACAATATCGTTAATTGTTGTTGACATTTGATGAGTTTGAATAATAATTTCTGATTGTGTCCAAGTGGACACTTTAAATACACTTTGATTACAAAATAAACACTTGACAATCAGAATTACAATCAAAATGATCATTATTGTGGTAAAATTATTCATCATCATCAAGAATTCTGAGTTTCCCATGAAAAGTTATTTAGTGATTCAAATATTACCGTTAGTTTGTTTTACCACATCTCTTTTATTGATTGACAATTATGATTATAATTAAGGGAATGATAATCAGGATTTAATATGAAACATGAAACGATAAACCAAATGATACAATAAATGTGAATTCGTAAGAAAGTAATAAGATATTATCCGAGTTCAGAATTTACATGTACCATGTTATCAGAATTTCTTGTCATAATGTTGACTTTTTTCCTCTCCTTTTCTTTTCTTTTCATTAATTAAATCACGATGATGATGATCAACTTTTCGAGTACTTGATGATTAATCATAATCACTACAATCGATTCGAGATCAACTATTGGTTCTTATTTTTTTTCTTCTTTCTCTAATCTAATCTAATAGTTTTTAGATTTTTTTTTTGCTTCGATTTCTGTTGAGTGTTGATTGTTATTGATTATTTGTTGTTATTGATGATGTGAGTGTTTGATTAGATTTAATTGATTAACTGTCGATGATTATATTAGAATAAAAAAGAAAAAAATTCTTCTCACAAATGTTGTTCTCTCTCATGAGGTTTTATTAAACTTAATTAGTTGATACTTAGTTAATTAACAATCGCATCGGTAAACAACATTGATTGATATGAATTGAAAAGTTTTAATTAATCAGGTAAACACCAATTAAGAACTTCAAGTAAAGGTGAATAAGGAAAAGTTGAAATCACAATTAGATTTGGAAAAAGTTGTGATTATGAAACAGGATTAAGATTCTATATGATCGATGACGATTTAATTGATTGTTCTCGTTGATTTTTTTTCGAAAAATGCAAAAATTAAGGCCTTGCTGGGATTCGAACCCAGGATCTCCTGCTTACTAGGCAGGCGCTTTAACCAACTAAGCCACAAGGCCGGTGAAATATTATCAATAAATATTAGATTTTATAGTTAACACAAGTTTTCGAGAAACGATTTAATTCAATTGCGAACACTTTTACTATTAAAGTTATGGTCGACCTGCTGAAGGATCTAAAACTTTGGCTCGAGCACAAAAAGCTCATGCTTACGTTTCCAACCAAGTTAAATATCTTTGTGAGATAATCAGGACAGTGGAGTGGCTGCTGATGACGGAACTGTGGCCATCACCTTCGGACGATTATTCAAGGTAATTAGTTGATTGTTTCCCATCTTCTCACCAAGGGTTATAATTATCTTTCCATCTTCGATTAGATTTATGTCGCTATTTCGGACAAAGTGGTCGGTATGCTGCTTCGAGCTAGAAAATATGGTTTCGTCGATTTCGAAGGTGAAATGTTGTTCCAAGGTCAAGATGATCAAACGATAATTAGACTTATTAAAATGCCTCCTAAAGAATTTACATTTAACTTTTAATCGTTTAAATTAAAAGATTTAATCAATTGTAAATTCTCAAATGAAAAATGATTATCTATTTTCCGGAGTAAAAAATATTTTATTCATCATTTTGATTGGTCTAAATTGTTGTAGAAAAATTTTATTATATTATTTTTGTTTTGATCGCAGAAAAGAAAAAAAAAGTTGTTGAGGTCAAGAATTAGATGTACAATTATTTACAAAATCGAATATTATTTTCTAATTTTGATAATACATGTGTAAGAAAAGATGATTGTGTTTTGCAAAGTTCGTCAGTTCGAAGGTACAAGTTTATCTTTCCTTTTTCATTCGAAGTGTCCATAGGAAAAAAGGGTTTCCATCCATTGGATTGATGTTGTGGGGATGATGGTCAATATCCAATGATGGACGTTTTTTTGTGGCGCAACATGGAAATTGTTCAAAATCTTTGGTTTAATTGTTATTTATCATTTATGTATAATGCATATGAAAAGCGGAAAAATTTCAAAAGTGTAATCAAACTAATATGTTACAAGGGAGCTTCTGTTTTGACAGTGACATGCTACAGGGAGAGAGGGAGAATGAGAGAGAGAGAAAAGTGATGAATTCGATTCTGGTTCTTGTTTGTTTATGACTCAAGGCTTAAAGTGACCAGAAATCAACTCGAATTCATTGATGGCCTTTGATTTGGATGATGAAAGTGCTGAAAACGTTTGTTAAATTAGCACAGAGAAAAGTAAAAAGCTCTTGGAAATATGAATCAGTCGTGTGTAAATTAATACTAATTTCAACTAATTTATCCACGTGATAATTTAAATCAGGAAATAGACTATTTTTTATTCATCCAAATGTAAATAAAAATGTCCATTGATTTGAAAGATGATGATGATGAGGTGGGTTGATGATAATGACGATGATGATGATGATTTACAATTTCTTTACACTATCTTATAGTCATACTTGTGATACAGCCGTTGTTGATTTATCGACTGTCCCATATCTTGGATCATAATCGGACGCTGTTTCTGAACCATCGTATGAATTACGCCAGGCGATTACACCGCTCGGCATATTATTGATATTATTAGTGTGAGGCACATAGTTGGTTTGGGGAGTGTAACAATATTGATATTGATCAACAACTGGAGTTGGATATCTCCATGTGTTTAAATCATTGGCCATGGTAACATAGGGTTCATCGGGTAATCCCGTTACCGATCCTCGAAACCTTGAATCATTATCTGAGACAGAGGAAACATTATGAATAGAGCCAAGATCAACAATATCCTCGATTCTCATGACGGGTAAAGGTTCATTACGTTGTTTAGCTTGTTTAACTTTATCGTAATGTGATAACAATTTATTGGCTGGAATTGAATCAATTGGACTTATCCCTTTAATACTTTCATCCATTAGTTTTGAGGAATCATTTTGATAAATTAGTTGATTGTTTATCAACTGTTGTTGAGTTTGTTGTTGTTGTTGTTGCTGCTGTTGAGTCAATTGTTGTTGTGATTGATGATGATGATTTAATTGTTGATGTGAAATCTGTTGGTGTTTAAGTGTTTGATGAGATGATTGACTTGTCACAAAGTGATTAGTTGACCCAAGGTCAGTGTTACCACCTTTTACACCCAACAGTTCATCAGAATATGATCTGTATACAGATTTATCTGGATTATCTGTTCCCATTGAACTGGGTGGAAGTTTATTTTTTACATTATCTTTAGAATCCATTGAGTCAACGTTGCCTTTTCCAGAATGATGACCTGAACCAGATCCTCGGCGTTTACGACCAGCGACAAGGCAAATTATGAATAAAAGGCTTACAAGAATAAAAAGAAATGATCCAACCAGAATTGCGGTTACATGCCAAATACCAAGTACACCATTGGTACCATCACTGAAGAAACCTCCCCGACTCCCGGTGGCCGCTGAATTTAAAATATCAAACAAATCCGATGAATCAGAATTTTGAAGGAATGACCCAGGCGGCTCACTATTTATTTCAGGCTCACCATTCAGATAGATGTTAACCAAGTTTGAAAGTTGATACGATCCATGGATATCCTTCAATTGCATGGCCACAACATAAGGGCCAGAAACGATAATGGTTCCTTTCGGAATTTCAAATTCTCTTACAAACTCAGATGATTCAAGTTCGATTGCCGATCCTAGTCGAACTCCATAAGAATTAAAATCAGACCGAATGAATGATCGTTCAGTCCAATTGAAGATTTTAATTTCTTCGATAGATGAGATACCGTGTGGAACTATAAATTCAGCCTTTATAATGTATCGAGTTTCCTCAATAAGAGAAACTGTTAAATCAAATGTTCGAGAGACTCGGACAAAACTCTCGACTGGTGCAATATCATCAATATAAAATGAACCACAAGAAATTACTCGATTAAGAAACTTGTAACCTGTGATAACCTTATCTTCGGGTACCGATGACCCACAACAAGGACGATCGCCAATACCAGGGTATAGGGAAAACCGACCCGAGGCAACGATCGCTTCAGCTCGAATGAATCGACGTGATGGAACATCAGAGACTAGATAAGACCAAGTTCCATCGCCACGGGTAACATCAGGATCTCCAAGTCCATTGTCAACCATTTGAGCTGTCGAAACAAGGCCACCAAGTTCATCGTAAAATGCAATTGAAACTGATGCATTTTGTACATATTCAGTAAGTCGTTTGGTAAGTGAAACGTAGGCAAAGATACGATCACGGGAGGTGGTGGTTGATATTATCGACTCAGAGGGGGCTAACCAACAGGAACCTGCTATAAAGTTACTCTCCAAAACTGGAGCAGCTATTGATTGTTTGGGTGGAGTAATAAGAGTAGTTGAAGGTAGAACAGCAATGGCCACCATGTAGGAGACGACATTTGGATTAAGTCCACTCCATTCAACCACCCATAGTCCATCTTGTTGACGTTGAGGGTAAGCGGTAAAGGTGTAAGTAGTGAAAGCAGATAACAATATTCTACCACCATATTTGACCTGAACATCGTTAATATAAACTGATTGTTCAACTCTTTTACCACATTCATCGGAGGAATGACAAAGTAATATTACTTGAATTGAGTAATTGGCTTCAATTAATGATTGATCAACATCAAATTTGAATGTAAATTTATCGGTATCTGTGGTTGTTGCTTTGGATAAGACAACTAAATCTGTTGGATTAAGATTATTTCGTGAGAGAACAAGTGATTCAAGAAATGCTATCTGATTGTAGGTTGATCCAGGCATTTTAGTGTCGATATGAGGTACAACGTTCAATTCAGCTGAGGCCGCTTGAGCGAAACGCATTAAATCAGTGTAATTATTTTCACTCTTGTAAGGATAGATGACAATTTTAACCTTGATATCATAGGATAACAATTCTTTAGCATATGATTCCAAAGTGAAACGATCCATCCTGAAATTACCCGCGGTGACAATGTAAAGGTGAGTAATTGAATCGTCCACGTTTTTAACATTCCCTCTTAATTGTTCCATGGCACAATCAAAACAAACAGGTACATTTTCCGGATGACCCTTAACTATGGCTTTACTTTCTAAAGGAATAGCTTCAAATTGTTTCAATTGATAGATTAATGGCTTATATTGGTCTAAAAGTGTCCGAATTGGATCTAAAATCATCACATCATCATAACCCGTTAAGTGGTCAAAAAATACTGCCAATCGCGGTCGCTTCGTAGTGACCATTGTGAATTTAGTGATACACTTATTGCCAGCAATCGGTTGAGTTTTCCTGGAAGAATCAGAAAGAAATCAAAATAATTAGAAACTTTTCCAACATTCAGATAGAAACAACAATTAATCAGCAAATGATAAGTTAATCATCCGTAAGATGGAGTAGCACAAAAAAAGTTTTGCAAAAGTTTGTTGATAAAAGTAACTCAATAGATGGCGATATGTTCCCAGTTCATTTTTTTGTTTTGATTATTTGTTAAACTAATAGAAACCAAATCAATAAATTATTACAATGATTAATCAGTGAATGGATAAATTCACGAATAATCGTGGATTCCATCATCTGGTTAATATTGACAATGTAAAAATAGTAAATTGGGTTGAAAATAAAACTAATAAAGTTGAAAAAACAAATATAAACAATATTTTTTTTTCTCTCGAACTTTATTAAAATTATATTAATCACGCAATCAAGTCACTAACTAATATTAAAACAAAATAACATTCAAAGTTGAATAAATATCTAGTATTCATGTAATTCATGATAATCACATGTTGAGATAATTTAACCTTCTTGATAATTATCAAAAAAAAAAGGAAAATAAAAATCGATTGATTACTCACAATGGATCTTAATCATTTTCCTAAAAATAATGGGTAACAATTATCATTAGAAATGTATAAATACTATTATTATAACAATCAATTATCATCATTATTAAATTAATGCACAAAACAGGAGTGCGAGGGAATTGGAGTTTAATATGATCAAGTTTATCATCGCTTAGGTAGGAGAGAGAGAGAGAGAGAGAGAGAGAGAGAGAGGGTGTGGGTGGGGATGAGGGTTGATGTGGGTGGAAAAAGTTGATAAATGTTAATAGGAAAAACTAAACGTAGCAACAATTAAATGATAATATGAGTGATCAACATCATATTCATTAATTGCTCTCCATTTAGTAATAGGAAGAAGTTTTCAAATGATAATAACAATAAAATTATTTAACTGTTCATTCAATATATCATGATAATTGTTGCTGATTGAACAAAAACAAACTATTATTATTATAATTAAAAGCATTTGTATAATATTATCATTCAAGATCCAAATACAATAATCAACTAAACATGATAATAATATCAAACGAAAATGATTATCAGTCTAATTCAGTTTCCCCTCATGATTATTACTCTATTTTATCATCACCATGGATTCTCAACTTGGGTGCTGAATAAAAAAACACTTTTCTCATATTCTGTTATTAGGAGATAAATATAAAACCTTAACTATCAAGTAGCACGGAGACCAAAGTAAAGCAACGGAAGAAACATAAAGAAAGAAATTGACAGAAATGATGATAATCATCATCATCACAATAATAACTTGGTAATTGAGTTAATCTTGGAAATGGACCCAAAAATATTATCAACGAGCTGAAGAATATCAAGTTTTCTCAGAGCTGAATAAGGAACCGAAAATTTTTACCTTTACCTTGAAAAGTAAAGTCATTTTTTACTCTCACTATTTAAAACCTTTTTTACAGTAATATTATCATTATTGCCCATTATTATCACTATAAAATGCAAGGTAAGGAGAAAGTGGGAGACAGAGAGCGAGAAGATGAGAGTATAAGATGACTATCATTATGTAAGAGTTATTTTACCTTTGCACAAAGGTAAAGATAAATTTTTACTCTTTCAATTTGTATTTAAGATTATAATTTGTACGTTGATTGTTGCATTTGTTTCTCAATGTAAATTTATCTTTTTTTTATGCTGTTAATCACTTATCAAACTAATCTGATAATCAAGTAAATTTAATCTCCTTGTCATTATCATCATCGGTTACATATCTAATGCATATTATTTCAATGATGATAATCATTTTACCTTATAAACCTGAAAATGCTAAAAGATTTAAGCTAAATCTAGTTACCTGGACAACATTACTTTTTTTTTACTTGATTGCTGTTGATTTTTGTTAATGCTGCTTGGAAACTGACAGCGTTACATTTGGATGATATTAGTGGATGAAGAAAAAAAAATCCTCATCGTGTTCATGATAATGATAATAATGGTAATACTAATAATAATACTAATGAGGATGATACATGGTGGCCTAGTGAGGATTTACCTTTTTTTTAGAGTTAAAATAAGCTTATGATGATGCATAAAGCATTTTCCAGTCAGTTTCTAGTTAGCTTAGAGAGCGAGAGAGAGAGCATAATCTTAGGCAACTCAAATTACAAGTTATTAGTGAGCTGAGAGAGAGAGAGCAAGAGTTTGATTTGCCCGTCAAACAAGTGAAATTAATTCAATATAAAGGATCGCGAGAGAAGGATAAACTGAGAGAGAGAGAGAGGAACTTGTTGAGCAAATGACCTGGTAAATCCTTGAGAGCTTACAGGGTGCCTCACCCCCTCCCCTTCCTCTCTCTCTCTCTTTAGGCTTAAAGTCTTAGCAGCAGTGACGCTTTACCGTCAATTTCATCCTCATCTCTTCCTCATCATCATCAAACAAAAACCTGACATTGAATTTTGTGAGACTCATTACTGATTATTTTTTCCCTCTAAGCTCACCTTGGACAGGGTTGAAAGGTAATGGTTGTTGTTTATATTAATATCAACAAGATGATGATAATTGAGTCTCTCTCGTTTTCTTCATCTTTCAATTCGTGATAAGGAATAAAATATTCCCGTTACTTGAGAAAAAAAAAACATTGCGTTCAATATGATAATATTGCGAGAATCATTTTCTTTCAGTAATTATATCAAAAAGTATAATGATTGTTCAGGTTAACTAATTAAAATGAGATAGAGGGACTTTGGTTAAATTTCTGGTTTCAATATAAGATTAAATTGTTGAATAATCTTTTAATCACTTTTGAAATTAAAAAAAGGGCTCAGGCTAAAATTAAATTGGAAGACAAGTGATCAGATTAATTTTTCATCATTACCCAATTAATACAATTAGTCGGATAGATTTTGTGTACCCTCTTCTAACCTCAACTAATCTGTGCATCATTTTTTTTGGATGCAACAATTAGCTAATTGTTTGCTAACAGAAAGGCTTGTGTAATCATCAACGGAAAAAGTGATCAATTTAGAAGAAAAATTAATTGCAAATTTTCTCAATCAAATGGGTGAACGTACCTAACCCCAGAAAATTTCATTAGATCCTCTTTTTTTTATAATATAATAATAATGATAATCAAAATCATAATAATGTGATCTGATCAGCTCTGAATCGTCAAATACCCGGCGGGTAAATTACTTTTATACAGGCACACACACACACATCCACACCATATACAAAGCAAAACCTGAAGAGATGATGAGGAAGATGAGGAAGATGCCTTAAAGGAATAGATTCCTTTGACATAATCTCAAAGAGAAAAAAAAAGTTATCAGATGAAGATGATTTTTGAAAGTTTGTTCAAGTTCCTGAAAATTTTGCAACAATTTTGTCACATTCACCTTAACTTTTACTTTCTTCCTCTCTCTCTCCCTCCCCTTCTCCATCTCTTTGATATTCATCTGAAGATGCTGAATGATGATGATGATGCAGAGCCGATGTAAAAGTGTCATGATGATATCAATGATAATATCATATTAAACTAACTAACCAAACCTTTAATTAGTAAATAAAGTAGCAACAGTAAAACTTTTTCCAAAGTGTATCAAGAGAAAACTATTAAATTTGATTATAATCAAATAGTAAATTAATGAATCAAATCTCGGTGGTTATCATCATGAGCTGATAAAATATACAAAACAACCACACCTATCATTTCATCTTCTTCCCTTGATGCAAAGAGGAAAACAAATGCTAACATTAAATTGATAATCTAACAACCAACATATGATATAAACTCATTAAAGAGCAAAAACTAAACACAAAATTATAATAATTGATTGTAGGAAATTTAAAGTTACTTTAATTACATGTTAATTGTTTTGAACCAAAACAAACAGACTAATCAGTAATTTTGGTGTTTTCTAAATATTAAATTATTAACTTAACAAATGAAAATTGATATTCACTACACTTGATTAGTAATTATATTCATTGGATAAACTTTGTTTTCTGTTTAAAGTTTTAAATTATACTAATTAAATTGTGATTCTACTATTACATAATTTAATCAACTAGTACAAGATAAACATTAAATCAGTGGGATTAAGCAAATTGAAACCAGCAACAATTAAAAATGAATGTAATCAAGCAATTTACTAATTGTGATCAATTGGGACAGTCAAACCATGAAAGTAAAATTAATAAACATTAATAATGATGATTTGTCAAACATAGTGATTATTACGGTGATTAAATTAAATTTAAGTTATATTGTTAATTATGGCGGAAAAAGATATGGAATATGAATATTGAGATGAAGATGAAGATGAAAAAAAACATAAAGTTCATGGGAAGATGAAGGAAGATGTAGAAATGAGAAGACTTATCATCATCATATATAACCTGCAATCAACCTCGTCAATTCAGTCAACCATGATGTCAGTTCAGTACATTTCACTCATGTGGATATCATGATAATTTGCAAATCACAAGGTGAAGGAGTAAGTGAGCTGATGAAAAATAAGATTTAAGTGTGAGAATATTGATCCCGGAAAAAGAGGTGAAGATGAAGATAATTTCAGTCTTATCATCATCACCATAATCATCATTATCATTATCATACACAAAAAAAACACGTTACATTTTTATGTAAAAAAATGATAAAAAAATAAGAAATGATACCCAACACACTATGAGAAGAGGTTATGATTATTGTGATGAGAAATGATAATAATCATTTTCATGATAATAATAATCATCTTCATCATCATTATCACCATGATGAGTAACATAAATTTGATACGAAAAAAATGACCTTGTTCAATCAACGTTATATTTGTATCATTATCATGATAACGAGTTAACATAATAACGTTACAATGATATTAACAATAAATATATATTAATAATAACGATAATGATTGTATCTGTTTCATTTCAATTATATTAATCAACAGGAAAAAAATAAATTGTTATAACACAAAAATACATTCACAAGCTACTGTAAACTTTACATACACACACACACACACAAACACTTGATTCATTTACGATTGATTTCCGTTTCCTTAAGTAGGTAAAACAGTTTGAATATCAAGATGAACATAAAAATAACAAAAGTCTAACCGGTTCAGTAACAATATAATCAGTAAAATCTTTCAATAGGAAAATATCAACTACTATCCATAAACTTAACCCAAACGTTACGTTTGGGTAATAACGTTACAACATTTTATATCTTTACCGTTTATTTCATCATTTCATCTTCACCCTACACACTACCATTAGCTTATACTAGCATCTTCTCCCTCCCCATCCAACCACCCACCTTACTCATCTCTTACCTCTCTCACTCTCTCTCTCTCTTTTATCATCATCTTATCCTATTTTTTACTCTTCATTTTATTGGTTTGCCATTCAAGCTTTTTTTCATCTTCTTTTTCATCTCAACAGTTTAAGATTAAATTGGATTGCAATTTAAGTCCATTATTGACCATATCGTACTCAATTCACTTGCCATCTTATCATCGTTATCATCATTATTATTATTTGATAATATTAACTGAAAAAAATACTGAGCCAATGGCCTTGCAATTGGCTAACTGACCATTGGGATGCTAAGTTTTTATATTTATCATCTAACAATTTAATAACAACACAATGAGCTTTTCTCAACTAATCAATGGCAGGTAATGTTTCTGGATAGGAAACAATTTATTGGTAGGAGAGGGAAAGAGAGTGAGAGAGAGAGGGAGAGAGTCATTAAGATTAAATTGTTAGTGGTGTTGAAACTGAATTGATGAAGATTTAACAACAATTTAATGTGTAAATTGATGTCTTTCTATTGTTTTTTGATTGTTTGATTTTTTTTTTCTGGTTCCTATCAAAACCTAAACTCTACATTTGTCTGTTAATCATCATTTCAAGATTATCATTATTACTACAATTTACTACCATCATTATTATTGTTATTGGCAATTAACATTGAATAATTGAATTGTCAAAATTTAATGATCACACAAACAATCAAAAAATTAAATGTTAATTACAATTGAGAGACAATAGATTAGATCCAATTATCCATAACAATGAGATAACATTTAAAAATGAAATCATTATTATATTTGTTGGACAATTGGAAACATTGAAATCAACAATCAACTAATCGTTGATAACAATGATGATTATTGATGACTAATGTTATTGAAAATCAATAGGAAGTATCAAATTTTTTTTCCAATGATAATCACAATTGAATCCATTAGTTAAGGTTATTCTGTTAATCATCATCCTGTAAACTTAAATATCAAAAATCATGATTACTAATAAAATCCTAATGTTATTTATCATCTTTCCTCAATCATTTAATTTCACCATTCGTATGGTAATGATTAACTTCATCATAGTAATTACAACAATCGAACTAACCATTAACAATTAAAGGAAAATGGGAAAAAAATTAATAGCAATCAAGCCAGAAATTGTTGATCGTGATTGCATTAATAATTTAACCAGAAGACAAGAAACAATAAAATTCCTGAATCAAATTCATGATTAAATTTTTACATGTAATCAGATAAATCGTCTGGAAATGATTAACCCTTTATCTATAGATAGTTTGATTGATTGTAGAGATTAATGAAGCCTTAATTGTAACAATTTCTATGTTAATTTGAAATAGCAATAAGTTGATTATCATCATCGTGTTGAACAACAAGTTGATAATAGATGTGTTAAAGTGTTGTTATCATTTTGGTATAATTATCATTTGAAACAATTAATATCATTTAAAAGTATAAATTGATCATTATCACTGGTTTACAATCAAAAATGATTATCAATAAAATTAATGAGATAATGACAAAACTGATACCCACTAAATGTGTTGATACGAGGGGGAGAGAGAGAGAGAGAGAGACAATCATTTTATAAGAAAGTAATAATAACAAATCGCTTTGATGTTTTGTTAATCATCAACAATTAAGGTTATTACTTTGCTTTTAATCACTATCAAAGATTGAAATCAATCTCTAAGTTTGGGAATATGAAGACGTGCAACATGCATCATTATCATCCTCCTCATCCTCATCCCAAATACATCATGTTGTTTACCTTTAGCAAGAAAAAACAATCTCAATTTGCAAAAGTATCAGAGTCTACACATAGGGAAGAAAAGATGATGAGGATGGAATGAGAGTGAGTGAGAGAGTCATCGATTACAATTAAACCACTGCAGGTAAATGCCTGTTTTAGTCTCCCTCTGTCATCTCTCATTTTCTCTCTCTCTCTCTCTCTTCCTCATCCTTCTCATCATCTCTCATCACGAATCCTTCCAGGCTTATTTGCTAGAGAGCTGTGAAAATCATCTAACTATAGTTTAGGAACCAGTTTTGTTTTTGACTTTTTTTTGGATTTTTTTGTTTCTCTTTAAGCCAAAAAAAAGTTTATGTTTAGTTACTTGAAGCGAAATCGTGACGTGCCAGAACCCAAGCTCATGATAATAATGTTAGCTAAGAGCGAGAGATAAAGAGTCGTGATGTACGCTAAAGTAACACAAATGTGCTACAGTACGTGAGAGGCGATACACACTAAGCATAGGTCAATAGATATTCAGTTTTGATTGTATTAGTTGTTGATGCAATGATGAAATAACAACAACAGTATCACAACGTCGTTGCAACAAGTATTATCAAACCATCAGCATGAGGTCAACATCATTTTAGCAAGTAAAAAGAAAGAGAGAGAGAAAAAATTAATCAGTGAAAAGATATAATGAGAGAAGATGAAAAATCATGATCAAGTCAGGATTTTAATTTCATCTTCATCTCAATTTTGTTAACCTTGATAATCGTAACTTTTGCTGATAAATGATTAGTGCAGATCGATCATTATAAAGAAGAAGAAGAAAAAACTTACCTGAAATCAGGGTGATTACGGATAACCTCAATAATTGATTTTCCATCACAGAGACGATTTTGTTTGGTGGGTGAAAAGGCATCATGATTTTCTTCTGAGCAAAATGTTGACACACTTGAGGAGCAACTTGTCATAAGGCGATCCGAGTTGGTATCAATAGTATAATCAGGACTAAATTTATCATTTTGATAACTGTGTTCACTGAAAACACCATAACGGTAAGTGGCCCACTGGTGAAGGATACTTTTCACCCGAGCAGTTGAATGGGTACTACTGGTGACAGGGGAATCATCAGCTGTGTTTTCACTCTGAAAATTGGTCGACTTTTCAAGGAAAATGTCTTGCGATAAATGAATCAATTTGCCTCCCACACCACATTGACCATATTGATCTGTATACGGTTCATCATTTAAACTCGCACCTGAGAAGATTAAATAGAGAGAGAGAGAAGAAAACAAAATTAGTCCGAGAGAAATTACTTGTTGGTTATATTGTAAGTGAAGGTGATGATTAATATTTTACTCAGTAATGAACAAGATTTTCACTTGATCGTTTTTGTTGTTGTTTTTGTTGTTCATGATGATGATGATGTTATTATAATTATAACAATAGTATGATAATAATTCAACAAGAAAGCAAAGGTTGAAAGGTGAAAATATAAATACGTGAGATCGCAACAACCTGCAAGAGTAATGAGTAACCATTTTGAATGAGAAAAAAAGAAGAAAAAAATCCAAGTCTGGTAATAGCAATAACTATACGAATATACAGTAAATATCATCAACATCGTCATTTTCATCTTCATCATTAAGCAAACTAAGGATGAAGGTTAATTCAAATGAGGTAAAATATTTTCCTCACTAGAATTCATATGAGTTTCTACCATAGGTTTTTATAATCAGTGGTTATGGCTCATTAAAGTGTAGTAAGATTTTGTTTTTCCAAGATAAATTTGATTTTCTCATCTCTTAATCTTCTTTACTCACTTGATTGGTTTTCATTATCATCAACATCATCAACACAACATCATCATCATGGAAAACCGTATATAGTATCAGCATTTAGCATCTCTATCCAAGTAATGATAATGGTTAACCTTTAACACACAGGTTCTCTCTGTCTCTCTCACTCTCTTATACTCACTAAATAACCATAGACCAGGATCTTTGATTTTAACAATATTACTTTGGAAGATAAAAGTTAATTGTTGAGATTGGTAAGTGATTCTTAATTGTGATTACAATCAAAATAAACATTGAGAATGAGAGAGAGAGAGAGAGAGAGAGGCAAGAAAAACGATCAGTTAACAATATATAAGCATAAAATGGCGAAACTAATGAAGTAAAGACCATTAGAAAGAGATGATAACAAAAGATAATGAAGATACTGTTCATGATGAGCAATATGAAACTTTGGACTTTGCTAATTACAATTTACATAGTAAACAGACAATTAAACAAAAATACAATCAACACAACATTTGAAAAGTTGACAATTTAATTGTATTTTCCCGGACCTACTAAAAATAGTCTCAAAGTTTATAAACATTGAGAAAATATTATTTCATGGTTATAATAATAATGTTATAAAAATGTGATAACAGTAAAAATTAATGTTTGACAAACAATGACAATAACAGTTATCAACATAATGATACATAATAAACGATAATAACAATGTTAATATGGTCAAGGAGTAAGTAAATTGTAAGTGTATCAACAGTGTAAATGATGATGAGGAAAATTAGAGGATATCAAGAGGGTAATTTAAAAATCTAGTCTCGATTTGATGATGATGATAAGGAAGATTATGAATGCACCGTTGTTGTTCAATCAATTGGAACTGTGTTTATTTCCTTAGTGGAAACATTTAACTCTCTTCCGTTACTATGAAAAAAAAAGACTCTTGTCCTTTTATGTTGATATTTTTTTCCAACTTTTCGTGGGACAAAGACTCACTCACTCACCTTGTGTACCTCTCTCTCTCTCTCTCTTCCTTCCACTACACCTATGGTTTTATTTTCTTTTTCTCCATCAAAGGTAAAGGTATATATATACACCTTTTCTCATCTTTCTCTCTTGCTCCCTTCCTCCCTCCTTCTCTCTTTCTCTCTCTGTCTGACTGACTGTGTATTTAAAAACCAAGCCCAACCCAAACCCTATTGTTACTACCTGTAATTAGTTGCTGCTAGTTGGCTTAAAAAAAGCAAACGGTTTCAGGTAATAGATAATAACAATAATAGTAGCTACTGTTTAGGTAGCAGTTTAATGATATTGCTCAACAAAAATATATGTATTATCAAAATCATCTCAAAATATTAAAGGTAAATTATAATAGTACAATTGACATTTTCATTTATTTTTCCTTTAGTTTACTTTTGATTACTTTTCTTTTTTTTTCTCGTCATTGTTATTATTAGCATTCATCATCATTCACCTTTACTCCTCCTATTACCTCCTCCACCCTCTCATATTTCATATTATCATTTTCTGCATTTCCTTTAAATGGTAAACATTTTCTTCTTTCTCTCTATTCTGGGTTTGGTGTATTTTCCTGAGAGAGAGGGAAAAGTTTACGTGTTGACAAAATCATTTTGAATATTTATAATGTGTATAAATATCATCTCTCTAAATTGATATTTCTATTTCTATTTCACCTGAGTTTCTTTTTTCCTGACCTATCAGAACTTAATATAAATGTGACATTTGAATTTCACCATAGTAGTAGTGAAGGTAATCATAATGAGTTAAAGTTTCCATGTAAATACTTGCAATATTAATTCATATTCAATTCAAATATAAATAAATAACAATTTGAAACGAGAAAATGTATTTTTTTTTTCATCTAAAATAGTAAATAAGAGTCTAAATTGAAAAAAAATAACAGATGAAGAGATGAAATTGAAAATTGTTTGAATGATTCTTGTAAATAGTAACATTAATTTAAAATGAGATTACAACTCTTGCCGGTGATTTCGATAACTAATGTAATAAGGGAACTTTACATGAAAATTGTCCTACAAATGATAAACCAGTTGATTATCATGCTGACTGAAAGAGCAATGAACACACAAACATGAAACAGCATGAGAGTGAATCATAATGAAAAGGTAACTCACCATTTGAATTAATGTAAATATCCGTATCCAGGGCAGTAAATGTTCTGGTTGTGTTGATACGACGATTACCAATTTTACCTGACCATTGGTCAGGTATTAAAACAATCACTTCACCAAAGCACAAACTTTGATTGGTTGCAGTGTATAAAGAATTGGAGACTTGTTGAATTTTCTCCTCTAAATTGTCAATTAAAGTTGAAACAAGATTAATTTGTATGGCAGGATCAAAAGAGATAACAATATCCTTATAAGAATTGTTGTCAACGTAAATAGATTTTTGTGAAGCATCAACCAAAGTAGTGGACACAATTAACAATACAGATAAACACAGAATAACACTTTTAATCAGTTGATTACCAATTGATAATTTTCGCCTACAAAAATCACCAATGTGAGAGAATCTCTCTGATTGTTGAGATCTCGTCATGTTGTTACTCAAATTACAATAATCCGAAAACAGAGAACGGCACAAACGAAAAGTCATTTCAATGTTAAGAGATGAGAGAATATCGATCAACTGTAGGTAACCATAAAAAGAGAGAAAAGGCAAAGAGTTAATATAATCAACAGAAGAGAAGAAAAAAGAGGAAAAAAAATGAAAAAAGAATTAACAAAATTGAAGAATTAACAAAATTTCAATTGGATTGAGATGACATATTGAAGAAGAAGAGAAATAAAAAAGAGAAAAGAAAAGAAAATTTCGACAGATGTTGAAATGTTAAGTTAACAGTCCAATGTAAGAAAACAAACTGAAACTTGGTTCAACTTTTTCCCACCAAATGGTGAGCAAAGAAGAGGAAGATAATAGACAGAGAAGGAAGAAAGAGAAAAAAAGGAAGACAGAGATGATGAGGATAAAGTGAGTAAACGATCAACTCTTGAAAAGCAACTTGAGTGAGTCTTTCTTGCTTTTCAGGCCTTTCTTTTTTCCTTTTTTTCTTATTGCAATTTTTGTACATTATCATAAAATGAGAAGATGAGGATGAGGATGAGGATAAATATTCACAAAGGATTGAGAAAGTGATTGAGAGAGAGAGAGAGATGAATAAAATCACAATAATCAACTGATCTTCATCAATTCAACAATCATGCTAATAGGAGATGCAATGATTAGCAATAAAAAAAAATGAAATTAACTTTTACCTTTGGGTTTCTGATATCCTGATTTATACTGAGAGGGAATCATAAAACATACTGTTGATTTCAATTGTTTCCGATCACAATCAACAGACAACAATCAGCAACAGTATTACACAAATGAAGACAATGGTTGAAAAACCGACAGTAGCAAAGACAAAACCAGTTTGTATTAATGTAGCTTTTTTTTTGTCAACCATCAACACCACCGGTATAGTTATTATATCATCAACATCTCCTTCACCTCCTCCTCCTCCTCCTCTGTCATCAATGTTAAATAGTAAGTAGCAGTTACCTAATAGCAACAAAACACCAAGAGAAGCAGCAACAGCAGCAGCAGCTGATTAAAACACCATTAACAAGAGTAGATACACAATGTTGTGGTTATTAACATTAATTATCATCCAACAATTAACACGTAACCAACAACAACAACAAGAGAGAGAGAGAGAGAGAGAGAGAGACAAATGAATATGATACAGACAATAGTCCAATGATGTTATTCCCAATCCTAAAGGCAAAAGAATAAAGGAAAACAATGAGAAAAGAATAGAATAAAAAAAAATGGAAATCAAAATTTTCCATTAACCTTGCAAATCAATAATCACCATATAATCTGTTGATATCCCAAAAGAACAAGTTAACTACTGATCGATCAGAAGTTAATTAAACGTAAATTGAGTTAATTATCTGTAGAAAGAATAATATAAGAAAAGAAAAACAGAAGAAATTATTTAATCAACATCAAAGAGAAAGATATGGAAATCCAAATGTACTCACAAGAGATAAAAAAAATCAAAATGGACGATAGACTTTCACCTTTTCCATTTCCATTTCCTTTCCCTTTGAATTAAACATTTTCTTCTGTTGATTAGAAGTTAATTGTTGGTCTTAATTGTCCACAAACAACACACATTTAAACGGATACATTAACGGATAACAATTAACAGAAATCAAGAGCAAATGAGAAAAAAGAATTTTTTTTTATTCTTTTCCAAAGCGTAATGACTACATTAACCCTCGCCCATAGAGAATCACAATGGACTAATAAAATCACATGTAATTATTATTGCGCTTTTTTGTCGACATTTTTTTCGGATTATTTTCATTTTTAATTCTCTTTCTTTGCTTTACCTTTGTGGCTTTTTGCCAGTTTCATTTTGGTTTTATTGTTATTCTATTCTTCATCTTCATCATCACCGTGAAAATTTATATCATGGAAACAACAACGAAAAGGTAACAACAATTAATAATATGGTAACAATATGGTTAAGGTGTGTGTCTATATGTGTGCCTATGATTAGTGTTTATGTTTACCTGTAAATTGGTTACACCTTTTTCACTTCCGTTAACATGTTACAATCTTGTGATTTTATTATTTTTTTTTCTTCTTTTGTAGTTTGATAAACATACTGGTGAACATGGTGATTATGTTGTAATTAATAAGAGAATTATCTTCTCTTCCTTTTGATTTTAGACTGTAAGTTATGTATGGAAATTCAATGGACCAGTTGATTGGGGAGAATTTTTTTTTTCTTCTCTTTAAGATTCCAATGGATGAAGAGACTTGAAAGGCTTTTTTTTCTTCTTTTTTTTCTGTCAATGGTTGGTAATCTTCTACAACTCTTTTCTATGTTCTTCTCACAGTGATTTACATTCTTTTCGCTAATTGTTGTGCTTGAAATTCTCTTCTTTTTCTTTTGTTTTAGCTGTGTGATTAACAATGGAAATTGGAATCCATTCCAGGGAAAATGCTCCAAGGTAAATTGCTGTTGTCGCCATTTTCCGCCTTTATGATGTCTCCAGATTGGATTATCTGATTAATTGATTTTCATACCATTTGAAATGTTCTCTCATTGGATTAACTCAATTCTACTTGTGTATTGTACTTATAAGTTTTTAGTCGTTTCCTTTGCTGATTTGACTGAAACAAACACACCGACTCTTGAATCTCCTTCAGGCCATAATTTTGCTGTTAATCCATTTACCTAAAGGATTCAATTGAAATTCATTGTCAAGAGAAAACAACAAAAATGAAAGAGATACAAACAAGAAAAACAATGAATGTCAACATTAGTGAAACGATGGAAACTCTCATTGTCTTATTTCAATCAGCTGTTACTTTATGATCTCAATATCAACAACAATCAAATCAATTGTCTAATAATAATCATAATAATATATTGATATATTTATATGTTTATCATTGATTAGTTGATTATTGTTGAATTGGTAAAATAATGATAACTTTGATTTCATCTATCTCATAATCAGGTAAGCTTGACCAATATGTTATTTAAATTAACAACAATGAGATAACCTTAATCACTAATCAACCGATAATCTGTCAATACCAATTAACTTTTTCCATCAAGTGAATATCTTTTAATTCAAGATATAATAATAATCTTAAAATTCATTCATTAATCTGAAGTGAAAAAAAAATCACCAACACCAACAATATATAAATGTTGTAAATTTCTTGAAGATGATGATAAATAATCAAACAGTCAAAGACTTGATTGTTGTTGTGTTGATTTCTGATACAAATTACAGAAAGTGTAGGTTGTTGATTGTTGATGTTGTTGTTTATTCATCATGTTTCATGTCACTTTGAAGGTTTTTCAATATACTATGTACATCTAACACCAATTAGCCAATTTTGATATTTACAATTTCTATTTGTTGATTGAATCAGAAACGAGAGAGAGAGAAATGAGATGATATCCAAAAAAGTGAAGAAAAAAAAATTCTATTCTAATTTGGATCATATTCTTGTTTATCATTCTTGTCAAAAGTGATGACAACTATTTCCTTTCATGGTTACATCACTTTTCATCCTCATCACTTTTTATCAGCATCTTGTTAGTATACAGTTGATGTTATGATAAAATCACAACAACAATCAAACTAATCCAATTTGAACTGAATATTTTTCTTATTATCCTTGTTTGACCATCACAATCAACGATTAACTTTTTTACTGATTAATGTTAACGATTAATTGATTGATTACAAGACATTGCAGATAATTAAATTAATATTTTATTATTATTATTGTATCATTTTAATTGATCAGGAAAAGATTTGATAAATTGACCGTTTTTAATTTAATTGTTTCTCTATTGCCACTTAATATTTATTAGTTAACTAAATTCCACTCCTTAATTTATTATCATCACTAATTGATTGTAGTATTATTATTGTAATATAATTGTGATTGGTATTGATGTCGTTGATTGTTATCATGATTGAAACTTTCCAGCTTCTGAATTTAATAACAATTACAAGTTTACCAATGAAAAAGTGATAATCAAATCAATTACTGAACAACAATAACGAGAAGTAAAAAATTGAATCAAACTTTTTCATTTATTATTTTCATTCATTGTTACAGGTTAAGGTGATGATCAAATTGCATGGTAATGAACAGAATCAAATGAAATGGAAATGAAATTAAACAATAATTGATACAAAATGAATTAAGGTAACTATGGTTGGAAGATTTTTCTTTTCTCATCAAAAAGACACACAGAGGAACAAAAAGAGAAAGTGAAAAATAAGGTTAACATGGAGATGAGAATAGAAAAGTGAAACTATTGAACCATCGATGATGATGATGACAAAGATTGAATGTTCATCATCATCATCATTGACCTTGTTTGATAAAAACATAGGTTTCTATGGATTTACAACAATAAATAATAACAACAGGTACCCAACAGTTTTGTTACCTTTTCTCAACAAGTGATGAGGATGATGATCAGTAAATAAGTTACTATGGTAACCATTTGATTATCATGGTTGGAATGAAAAAAAAAGATGATGATTTGTGAGGGAGCAAAAATGTTAGACAAAAGAATCCAATGAGATGATAGAGATAAAGGAAAAATATTGATGATAATAATAGAAGAAGCAAAATCCAAGGTGATGAGGATGAAGATGGAGAGAAAGATGAAGATGAAGATGAAGATGATGTGAATCTATTGAAACTATTGGTCAATGTTTTCCAAATAATAACAGTTTGATTAATTTTTAATTCGCTTCAATGGTAACAATCAATTATTTATTTAAATCATAAGTAAACTTATTCTCTCTCTCTCTCATTTGGAGAGCAACAAAAAAAACATGACAATGAATATGAACAATTAACAATATAATCATGTTGATATGAACAAGATGATGATGTAAAACAGTGAAAAAAGTAAACAATAACATGTGAGAATCTTATATAATTCAGTCATCCATAGTGTTCCAATAATAACTTAATATGCTTGAATAACACATTGAATATTTCATCTTGATCATTATCTCCATCATCTCTGAAAGTTCATATAAAGACATTATCATACCTAATTGATTTGATTTGATCAACCCCCAGTGAGTAAACACACTTGAAGTCACAATCATCAGCATCTTAACCATCATCATCATCATCATCTTTACCTTTATCTTTTTCCATCATCAATTGACCAAAGGTCAGTCTTATTATCCTACAATTGAAAAGCAGGTAACCTTTAATACCTTGTTGTTATTTGTGTTACTCTTGTTGATTTAAATTGAATTACAATCTTATCATGTTTTACACGCCCTATTTTATTAGTTTCTTTAGCATTTATCATCATCCTCATCCTCATCTTTATCTTCATCATCATCTTAATATGATTTTACCTTTTTCTAATTCCAATTGATTTGTTTAAAGAATTAAATCTTAAAAGAAAAAGTTTAATCACAAGAAAATCAAACAACGTGAAGAATAAGCAAAAAAAAAATCACTTTCAGATTATCTTATTATTGATTCTTAATCTGACAATTTAATCTGAATCAATTTTGAATTATCACCGAATTGACCAGTAACGTTGATTGTTTCAATTGAATAAAAAAAAACTCTGATCCTATTTGATGATTGTTAAGATTACCAGGGAAAGTTAATTTTCTTTAATTTCTCCATAATAAGTTAACCATGATTCTTAATTGTAATTCTTATGATTTAATTGCGAAATGTTGATGATGACTAACGAGCTGATACTTTGTTGCAAAGTTGATTAGTTGATTGGCAACGATTTCGAGACGATTTGCAATTACAATTAATCATTTACCTGATTCTCTACAATTATTATTGTTGTTGTAATTACAATTTGATAATTTATTGTGTTGTTTTTATTTCAAGCAGATTGTAAATCAATTTGATTTTAATTTAATTTTCTTGTAACTCTTTTCTCAATTTACAGATGACCATGGCAAACAATTAAATTTAATTGTTACCTTTAAATTATCTGCTACCTGATGTTGTTTATATAAATCATGAGAGACCAAATTTATAACCATAACCATTGAAAATTGTAACAAACAGAAAACATGAATGACAATTGTAATTACAATTAACTAATCATCAATGAGGCTCCACCTTGTAAACAATTTGCAATAAATTTTGCAACTTTGTCTTCATCATGATGATGATGTGATTTGTTGTTGGCTTACCTGTGGTAATAATTATTAAATTGTTGATGATTTAATATCATGATGGTGATACAATCTTAACAATTGTTAAGATTTATTATCAACTTTAATTAACTTTTTTTATCAATTTGAATTGTTTGTTTGTTTTTAAAACTCTTATCTTGTTGTATTATTATTAATCCTTAATTGTGATAATTTTAATCCATAATTGATAACCTAACATGAGGATTTCTATTAATATTATCACGAATGGTGAATCAATTTCCACCTACTGATTGTTATATTGATCTGATAACAATTTATCACAACAATTAGTGTAAATGTTTTTCTAATCATGAAGATTTATATATATTATTACATCTATTGTTTTTCTCAGGTAAACATCATCATCTTTTCATCATAATCAGATGAAGATAAAAATGATAATAACAATCAGTTGGATAATTGATACTAACAATTAACTGTTAAACCTTTGCAACAGCAAAGAATACAATTTAATCGCTCTATCCTTATTATTTTCATCTATAACAATTAATCATTAATTTCCAATCAAACGATTGTAATTAAAAGTGTAAAAATATACAGAGAGAAAGAGAGAGAGAGATGATGATGATGATGATGATGATGAAACAAAAATCTCTTGATTATTTACCTTCTCGTTATGAATTGTTACCTGGGCTACTGTTAGTATGGACAATATTAGCCCTACAACCTTTGACCTCTAAATCTTCACTTTGACATCCATGTAATCGATGATGAAAAGTTACCTTTGTTTGTACAGGTAAGTAAATTTGTTCGTGATCATTTTTCCCCAGGATTTTAGCCTCAGGGTAATTAAACTTTTCGTGGATAATGATTGTTATATTGTGTACAAATAAGATTCAATATATCAGTTAATAAGTAAAAGGTGCAAGAAAAGATGATGAGGATAAACTGGCGATGAAGATGAAGATGAAAATGATGATGAAGATGCGAGAACCTTGAAGATAAATTGAAAAAAATGGTTAACCGGATCTTAATTAACTTGACAGTAGCTTTTAAATTGTTTAGTTATAATCTTAATAGTGGTAACATGATTGTTGATTCACACGTTGGAATGGTTAGTTAATTATTTGGGGGGAAAAAAATAAGTCTAAATAACTGAATCAATTATAATTATATCTAAATGATCATCTTTAATTTTAGTATATTGACCCAACAATTAATTAAATCAATAAGTTATTATTAAACTAATATTGAATAGATTCTTGAAATGTTCAATGTTATTATCATCATGTTTTCATATCATGAATCATTATTTAATTATCATCTTAATCATGATGTATAAGAAAAAAAGTTTCAAATAATTTACAGGTAAATTACAGGTTAACATTTAATTTGATTGTTGATTGATTTCAACACACGGATCATGTTAACATTGAATTACAATTTAATTGTTACCGCAAGAGAAATGATAATCAACTACTGAATAACAATTTGAAATATTAATAATATCAGTTGATTGTTATTAATAAATTGTTGTAATTGTGATTTTAAAGGAAACCAGGAAGACTTTGTAAAGGAAATATAAATTAAAGGGATAAAAAAACCATGGAAAAGTTAATTAACTCTTGTATACTAACCATGATTAACTTAATTGCATAACTGGTTTAGTTGATTATTCATATTCATGTAATTCATATCTCATTGTATATATATCACTGATTAGTAAATTGTTGATTAGTTTGATGTTATATTAATACAACAACAACAAAAAATGGTTCAATCTTTTCATGTCAAAATGTTGATTAGTTTAAATTGTTACTCTTGAATTGCAATTAACTGTAAATTGTTAATTTACATAAAATTTAATTTTAATATTTTATATATACAAAGTTTTTTTTTCTCCATGCTAACTAATCATTGATTAGACAAAATTTACAGTTAATTAAAGTTGATTGTTGAACAAGTTTACATCTTGTTAATGGAAAGTTATTGATCATTATGATTAGGAAAATGTTTCTGATTATGATTAACTAATCATCGTTGATAATAAATGGATTGGGTTGATGAGTGAAGCAAAAGGAGTAATGAAAATTAACTGATTACTTTTTTTTTGTCTACAATTTGGGTTACAATTTAAATGTCTAATCATTTGGATCCATGTTGTTAAACATCATCTTGATTAAATCATGTTTCTTATATACAATATCATGATTATGATTAAGTTGATTATTCTTGTACAATTGATATATAATATAAACATGACATAACCTAAATTGTTGATTGTAAATTTCAATATGACCCAATTTTAAATTAACTTAATAATTATCAACTTAATCATGATACACTTTCTCATGGGTAAAAAATAAAACAAAATAACACAAAACAAATACAGTTAATTATAAATGTTGGTTAACAATCAGTGTTGATGCTCAATCATCATCATAATGGTGAAAGTGCTTGATTGTTGGTTAATTTAATTGTTTCCAATTGGAAAAGCAAAGTTTAAATTCACATAATAATAACTTTTCCTCTCTCTCTCTCTCTCTGATTTTTTATCCTGCAAATCATAAGCAATTTAGGATGATGATTAAGATGATGAAGCCTTGAATTTATGTGGTTTATATGTAATAGGAAAGTGCTAAAGATTACGAAATGACCAAAATCCTCGCTAATCCGGATTAAAGATTCATCTGGACCTTTCAAGTTGTTTACTTTCAAATTGTTGGATTTAGTTGTGAAGTAATAACTTTATGATTATAATGATTACGATTTAGCTGTTTACATGGTAATCAAGTTGTTCCTAGAATTGCAAATACCAGGAGAGGTGAAGGTTCATCTGGTAGTTGTGGTGGTTATGGAGTAAAATGATGATGATCATCATCATCATGATGACCAAATATCACATTTCAACTCTAAAGGCCCAAAGTCATTTGGGTTCATCTAATTCAGAAATGAAGGTAAAGTGAAATAAACTAAAATCTCATAATCACCATTTTGTTTTTCTCTTCCCAATTGGCTATTTGTTGGATAATCTTTTTTTTTCTGGGTAAACAGTAAACAGAAATGATTAGTATGATGATTAACTTGATTGATAGATTATGATAATTGGTAATTTCTTGATTAGATTGTGTTTCTAATATTGTTGTTGATGGAATTGATTTTTAACCTAATGTTGCATTAATCATTATGGTTGTTGTTGGGCTTTGGATTGTGTTGCTTTTTTTTTGTTTCACATCGTTGATTAAGTATCAAGATTAGTACAGGGAATTGATTACGATGATTTATTTTAATGGTAATCAAAATGATTCCTTGATTCTTTGTCTCTTATTCTTGTTTACTTTTACTTTCACTGATTACAATCAACAAATGCAGGGTAACCTCATTAAGAAATGTAACTATCTCTATTTTATCATCTCTCTCTCTCTCTCTCATCTTCTGTATCTCTGTTGATAATATCGCCTTAGGCTTGATTAACTAGATTACCTGCTATTTAACAAGATTACCTTTACACCTTAAGTGTATAAGTTTAACCTTTGAAACAACAACTTTGAAGCTGGAGAGACTTGAATGATGATGCAAAGATGATGAAGATGATGAAGATGATGAAGATGATAAAGATGGAGATGATGATGATGAGATTGTTAAAATTAAAACGAACCACACCAATGATAGAAAGAGGAATGAAAAAGATCACTTTCTCCGCTCCGACCAATTATTATGAGGAAAATACATCTAATCGATGATAGTGGTAAATGGAGGGTCAAATGGACGATGGTGGTTTAGAGGGAAGGATGAAGATGATAAAAGATGATTAAAATGATGGCGTCGACATTTATTCTTATATCCAAGGTAAGATTAATTAACTAAGATAGAAAGTGAAAGATAAATTAACAAAAGTCACAATTAACTTTTCTTTGTAGACACAAAATGATTCGGAATCCATGTTGGTGTTTAAAGACACGAGATCATGAAGATAATTAAATCTGATCTTGTTGAGCTTTGACCATGGAAATTGTGATTTAGAGTTAATCAAGTTAGAGGAATAGAGAATTTAATTATTGTAATAGTTTTTGAAGAAAAAAACTTAGCAATTAAGCTGAAAAAATGAGCGATTAACAATTAAGACTTTTTTCCCTTGATTCCAATCACAAGGTAAGAATTCAAGTCCATTGGATGGATGGAAACGCCTTGGATTTTGTATGTGCCTCATTGGAATTAAATTAACCATTCGAAGTTTAATTGTTAATCAACTTGCAACAATTTAGGGCTGATCGTTGATTCGTAACCAACTGTTAACCTACAAATCAATCAACTTTTAAATTGATTAACTTTCTCTTAAATGATCAATCAAAATTGACGAATTCACGATTTCTTTTCCTTTATGGTTAATTAATTGTTTACTTTTTGTTTCTCAACAAATTTTAATTGTTTTTAATTAACTGTTAACAATATCTTATTTATTCTGACAATTAAATTGTCCATCGTGAGGTGAATCTAATTTTATTTAATTGATAAGATGAAACAATTTAGTAAATTTGTCAGTTAATTAAATGTTCAACTAATTAACTTCTCGAAAATTACAATTAAACGGTAAACAATTACGAAAATTAATAAACTAACAATCAAGTTGACAGTTAATTTACTGATTAATGTGACAATTTAAATTAACACGTTTTTTTAGAAACTTAATTGTAGTGATTAAGTGAAGTGATAATTAGATTTTATTTTGTTTTGTTTTTGTGGATAAAAATTGATGGGAAAATCAAATTAAACTTTTAATTGTAGTCAAATTATTGTAATTAAGTTATCATCGTTTGATTTGGTTGATTAATTAAAACTAACCCACAGAGACAAACATTGCTACATAATTGTAATTAAATTAAATTAAATTAAATTAATAAAAGTGTCAAGACGAAAAGAAAAAGTTTCGAGAAAAAAATTATATTTTAAAAACAAGAGTTTCTAAAAGGTGAGACAAATTGTTGTTAATTAAGAAGTAATTAACT